TGGAGTACACCTGTTGTTAACTGCAAGGCAAAGTAAGGACTGGCATAGCCCAGAGGAGATTGTTTGGGTGGCTGACAGGCTGGAGATGTCAGGAAGCTGATACCCAGTTAAGCACAAGCAAATCTCTATCTTGCTGGAGGCAGGGGTGTAACAGTGTGACTCACAGTCACGGGCACCCCGAGAACCATCACAAGGGGTAATGGAAGATTCTTTTGTGTGTGCAACTATTCTTACCTAACAGTGGAGGCAGTTTTCAGCCTGTAATTCAATGATACTTCTAAATAAAATGAGGTATTTAAAAAAAATTAACAGAACGCAAGTGTAGATATTAAAAAAAAAAAGACAAATAAATGCTTCTTAAAGGTTAATTGAAAGAATTCTTTCTAACTACTAGGATCTGAGTTGAGAACCTTGTACTTTTTGTCTCTCTCTTGTATCAGTTGATGACACCACAGACCCATAAACCATACACTGAGATATTAAGAATGTCATAACTGTGCCTAGTGCAGTGAGGAAATCTGAACACAGGTCTTGGCAGATAAATAAGAGGAACTAATTTTCAACTCATCTTTACACCACATTAGTAAATCTATTTGAGATAAATACTGATGGATTGAGTGAGTGTAAAAACTTAGGTTATGTCTTCCCTGCAGAGTTAACCCAGGCTCTTATTTGGGTGTTGTTCCTAACACGGTTTCCATCCACACACAATACCTCTGACCTGAGTTTGGTAGTGCTCTGTCAGCCCAGGCTAGCTGGACTGTTTGGGGCTATAGTCTGAGTGCTGCTTACACTCAGGCTGGTAAACTGCCTTCTTTGCAGTGTGGATTCAGGGTAATCAACTTGGGTGTTGCTGGTTCTCCAATGCCTTCCAACAGTTATCCCAGAGTTGTAGTATTGTGCCATGTATCTACTCCCTTCTTCTGCACTGGAAGTCAGATACCAGCTTGTATACCCCATTTGACATTGAAATCCACATTATATACCACTTGCTGTGCTGGCACATTTTTTACTGCACTCTCACAGCACTTGAACAAGGGATGGCATTCAGGAAATCAGACTCCCAGTGTACTGCCATCTGGCCAGAGGCTGACAACAAGGTTGTGGTGGGCTTGTGCTATGAGGTCAGTAAAAGCTATAATTTGGTGAGCTGTACCTGAAACATACACTTCTATGAGGCCATCTCCAAGAAGCTGGTAAAGTAGGGAATTCAACAGACAGGACCTCAGTGCAGGGAGAAAATCAAATCCTTCAAGAGCGGGTACTGGAAGACTGGAGATCAGAACCCAGTCTGGCAACTCACCAAGAATGTGCCTAGGAGGTCACTGATGGTCAGAACCTCTGTGGGATAAGAAAATGGACCGGGGATGACCGGCTGAAGGTGATGCAGCAGGATTTTTCCAGCCGGATGGACCAGCTCTTGCAAGTGTAAAGGGAAATGCTGGAGTGAGGCCAGCAGAACGAGGCTGCAGCACAGGCCATGTTGGAGATGGAGCAAAAGATGGCAGTGGATTTCATTGAACATGACTGAGTGATAAGGGAGTAGGACCACCAGCAATAGAGGAAATTGTTTGATTGGCTGCTGGGTGTGATGGCCTGCAGGCAGCAGAACATACCAGCTCAGACCTTGCCCTGGTCCAAGTCCAGCCTGCTGTAATGGCCTCCCTCCTCACTATCATATGGTACAACCACTGGACAATTCTGGGGAATGAGCCAGTTAATGCAGTCCATGAATGGAAGTGAACAAGGCTCAGTACTAATGTGGACTCGAGAACAAATGGATATAAACTGGCCGTGGGGAAGTTTAGGCTTGAAATTAGACGAAGGTTTCTAACCATCAGAGGGGTGAAATTTTGGAACAGCCTTCCGAGGGAAACGGTGGGGGCAAAAGACCTGTCTGGCTTCAAGATTAGGCTAGATAAGTTTATGGAGGGAATGGTTTGAGGGGATAACGTGATTTTGGTCAATTAGGCAATAACGTGCCATCGCTGGTAAAATGAGGATCCGGCTGGAGAATCTTGCCTGTATGCTCGGGGTTCTACTGATCGCCATATTTGGGGTCGGGAAGGAATTTTCCTCCAGGGTAGATTGGCAGAGGTCCTGGAGGTTTTTCGCCTTCCTCCGCAGCATGGGGCAGGGGTCGCAAGCTGGAGGATTCTCTGCGACTTGAAGTCTTTAAATCACGATCTGGAGACTTCAACAGCTGAGTTAAGGGAAAGTGGGTGGGTCAGCTTATGTGGCCTGCATCATGCGGGAGGTCAGACTAGATGACCATAATGGTCCCTTCTGACCTTAAAGTCTATGAGTCTATGAGATGTACCCAAAGCACTGCATCCTTGGTATCCACAGGGGACAAAGAACAAGTACACTGACGATATGGAATTCCGTTACATGGAATGTTGCAGTTCTTGGCTTTATTTTTATTTGTTTTGTATTTATTGCACTTTGGGTTTGTTTGCACTTTCTTATTTCACTTTCTTTGGTTTGTGGCAGCTGAACTGCCTGTGTTGTTGACTTTTAATAAACTGTTTTGCTGTTCAGTCCCTCAGTATGTGAGTACTTGGGAAACAATAAAGAAATCTCAGATCAGTAGTGTCACCGAAATATTGGGTCCACCTAGCTGAGAGCCAATAACAGCCAGGCAGGGATAAGGAAGAGTTGCTTTATTCTGCAGAAGAAAGGAGAGCTTTGCACCTTGGTACAAAAACTCTGTCTTACACACATTTTACTGGTCCTTTATACACATTCAGACAAAGGCCCTTGCCGTGTTAACGCTTGATTGGTGGTTGTCAGACCCGTGCTTTTGCTATCTGGTCAGTGAAAACCGGCTTGGGACCAGCTCCAACTACCTTAAGACCTTGAAAGGGAAGACAGTTGAAAAGTTCAGGCTACTGTGTACTTGAGGTGTCTGCTTCCCCCTAATGGCCGCTGGCTGACATAACGGCTGCTAGCTGTTAAGGGGGGTCACCAGTAACTTTCACAGTAGTACATAAAGTTGATGCTCTCACAAGTAAATTGATAGAGCACACTGATTTTGTCCTCACATTTCCCCTTTCCTCATTTCCCCCTCCAAACCCAAGCTCTGGGCATACAAGGCATATCTTATTTCCATTGTTCTGGACCCAGCCCCACTTACCAGAGATGCACTTTCTGGCTGCCTGTACTGTGCCTGTGAACCAGTCGGGTATCAAACCATGCCTCGCTGTATCCTCACATATATTGTGCAGTGCATAGCACGCCCCAGTAACATGAATAGCATAATACCCACTGGCATCCAAATGGTTTTGTAAGCAGCACCATCTTGCCTTCAGTCAGCTAAATGCACATTCCACCACCATCCTGCAACCTCTCAGTCTGTAAGTTAAACCTTCCTCTGCCAAGTGCTCTCACATCTGGGTAGGGCTTAATAAGCCTGTACAGCAGAGGATAGGCTGGGTCTCCTAGAATAACAGTGGGCACAGACTTATCCATATTATTGGGCACAGATTGATCCATGGTGATATCCATTTTAATGGGTGGGAATAAAGGTCCTGTTTGAAAATGCCAGATCTCTGGCGTATCATGGTGGTATGCATCCTGCCGATGCATTCCATGTTGGTGTCCATGGACCGCCCTCTGTTGTTGACCAAGGCCCGCATAATGAGCAACTAGTATCATTTCAGGTTTACATATTCATGTGTACCATTTGGGGGTAGGGGATGGACTATGGGCACATGTGTGCCATCGATGGCCCTAGAACGGTTTGGTAAGCCCATATGCATAAGCCCTGCTATTATTTTGGGACCGTTAACCATCTTCACCACCCGTGGATGAATCAGAGCAATAATTGTCTTGAAAACATCCATCACCATAAGCACTGACAGTTACCTTGCCAATGCCAGCCTGGTTAGCCACTGACCTATAGCAAACTGGGGTGGCCAGCTTCCAGACAGGTGATCAGCTGGATTAACTCTGCAGTGAAAACATACGCTTTGAGGTAGTTCTTCTAGGTCAGGATTGAGATCCACTTGCAAGGGATTGTGGAAAAACTTTACCATGCCTTTAATATGGCTAAATAGTAGTTTTCAATTTTCAGGGCTCTCAAACAGCACCTTCAATTGCATTAAATTCTTTCCTATCCGGCCTCTTATTTAAGTTTTGCTTTCTAAATGATAAAAAATGATAGCATTATACTTCAGTAAGATTACTGAATTCATAGTGATAGTTAATGCTAAGCTATTGCCTAGACAAACATTGCTTTTCTGTGTGAAGTAAGATGTGTGGAGACCTCAGAACAACTTTGATAACCTGAGTAGCCTATTTTGGTGGGGAAATGTTTTTCAGTGGTGTCCTCAACTTATCCTTTCAAGGTGGGAAAGGACAGCCAGGGGCCAGTAGATAGCAGTGGGGCCAAGAGACACATTAAACAAATTGGGCCTTTGAAAGCACGGGGTTTGATGTGACTCCACCCAGGGCCCTGTTTTTGAAGTTGTTATAATTGGTAAATTAATAGTTGATACTATAGCACCTGTTATAGTTCTGTGTACTGTAGTTATAAAGGCAATAATATTACAGTTACTGTTAGTAACTATTAATAAAGTGGTTAGACAGAACTCCATTGTCACTGTTTGTCTCCAGTTAGCAGCTTCAAGGATTAGTAGTGCTCATGCTTGAGCTAAATTGGATCTGTATTTAAGTGAAGTGATCAGTGGAGACTGAATTATGACAAACTAACTCAATTCACTGTGACTGTGTTATGGGCTTGACTGTAAATCCTGAAATTCTTTATCCATGAGTCTCTTTAAGCTGATTTGGAATGATATGTGAATGGTTTGCTATGTTAATATATTAGTCAGAAGGGTTCAAGCAGTAAACAAACAATATTTAATTTTTATCTTCTCCCATGGAGACAACATTTACTATTGAAATAATTTTGCTAATTTAACTGTCTTCAGAAGTCAGTCAGATGTTTGTGATGGAAATCTTGACATGACTATGGAAATGGTTTGCTTTTGCTTCAGATAAACTCAGAAGAAGCATGCCTAACCTAGCTCGGATGCCAAGTACTCCTACCATTAATAACAATGCTAGCTCGCCAGTCTGTGTGAGAAACAGTCAAAGCTTTGATTCCAGTTTACATGGAGCCGGTAATGGGATTTCAAGAATACAGTCTTGTAGTAAGTATACATCTTTTACTGCTCGTCGTTGTGCTGAAACTCACTGCTTTGTGTAATTGTGGAATATTTTACCCAAAGCTGTGTAGGTGGTGCTTTGATGTTACATCCTCAGGCTTCAGACCATGAGCTGCAGATATAAAAATTTTATTAAAGCTAATGTTAAAAAATTATATAGTACACAGGTTAAGAAGAGAGTGTATGTACATCTGGATATAGTGCTTAGATTATCCAAAAATACAAAGTTTGTTTTAAAAGTAATAAGATGCATATAATACATAATCAGCCATAACCCAAATTTAGGTGAATAAATTTAACAATATAGTTTAGATATAAGCATCCAAGTATTCAGGTACTTCGCTCATGAAAAGTTATACAGAGGCCAGGTCTACACTACCACGCTAGTTCGGCGGCTGGGGATCGAAGTTCCGGGTTCGATTTATCGCATCTGGTCTGGACGCGATAAATCGAACCAGGAAGTGATCGCCGTCGACTGTGGTACTCCAGCTCAACGAGAGGAGTACCGCGGAGTCGACGGGGGAGCCTGCCTGCCGCGTGTGGACCGCGTCTGAACCGCGGTAAGTTCGAACTAAGGTATGTCGACTTCAGCTACGTTATTCACGTAGCTGAAGTTGCGTACCTTAGTTCGAATTGGGGGGTAAGTGTAGACCAGGCCAGAGTGTTGGTTGTGGCAAGTGGATATCCCAATGAGTGAAGATTGTCCCTCAGTAATTGAGAATTTAGGGTAGTTTGTCCGTTAGAAAATAATGTTTAGTGCCCTAGCAGGAGCCCTATTAGCATATGTTTGTGGACCCAGGCTGGGAGGCTTGTACCCAGATGAAGTATAGACATACCTTAGATCAGTGGCTCTCCACGGTCCACCTTTCCAGACTACTGTACTACTTTCAGGAATCTGATTTGTCTTGCATACTCCAAGTTTCACCCCACTTAAAAACTTCTTGCTTACAAAATCAGACATAAAAATATAAAAAAAGTGTCACAGCACTCCGTTACTGACAAATAGCTTTTTCTTATTTTTACCATATAATTATAAAATAAATCAATTGGAATATAAATATTGTACTTATTTTTCAGTGTATAATATATAGAGCAGCATAAATGTCATTGTATGCAATTATAGTTTGTACTGACTTCGCTAGTGCTTTTTATGTAGTCTGTTGTAAAACTAGGCAAATACCTAGATGAGTTGATGTACCCCCTAGAAGACCTCTGCATACCCCCAAGGGTACGCGTACCCCCGGTTGAGAACCACTGCCTTAGATGCTTTAAATACATGAGGTCCTTCGGGTGTTTAGTTTCTGTCTTGTGGATCATAAAATGTATGCCGTTGATGCACACCAGAGGGCAGAGTTGTGTAGAGAATCTCTCTCTAAAGCAGGGGTCGGCAACCTTTCAGAAGTGGTGTGCTGAGTCTTCATTTATTCACTCTAATTTAAGGTTTCACGTGCCAGTAATACATTTTAACGTTTTTAGAAGATCTCTTTCTATAAGTCTATAATATATAACTAAACTATTGTTGTATGTAAAGTAAATAAGGCTTTTAAAATGTTTAAGAAGTTTCATTTAAAATTAAATTAAAATGCAGAGCCCCCCAAGACTGGTGGCCAGGACCCGGGCAGTATGAGTGCCACTGAAAATCAGCTCGCGTGCCGCCTTTGGCACCCATGCCATATGTTGCCTACCCCTGCTCTAAAGCTTTTGGATGTTCCAGCACTCATTTGAAATGATAGTTTGTGTAACAGTGTATGTGGAATGGACTGTTATATTCAGGAGGCTTTTTATAACTTTTGTCTGTTTTTATACATAAAGCGTATATCTGTACGACCTTTTTTGTAATGCCAAAATAATTGTCTTATTACGGAAAAAGTAGCATGTGGTTTATAACAACTGACTTTTTAGTGATCTGGGAAAAAGAATAAATTATAATTTCAGCAAGTCTGTCATGTTAAAGGGATTTGGCTTCTAGTTACCTAGAATAAATATTAACAAAGAGTCCTGTGGCACCTTATAGACTAACAGATGTATTTGGAGCATAAGCTTTCATGGGTGAATACATGCGTCTGACAAAGTGGGTATTCACCCACGAAAGCTTATGCTCCAATACATCTGTTAGTCTATAAAGTGCCACAGGACTCTTTGTTGCTTTTTACAGATCCAGACTAACACAGCTACCCCTCTGATAGAATAAATATTGAATCATTGCAGAGCAAAAGAGGAGTGAAGTAGGAGTGGGATTTTTGTCTGATGATCTTATTTTTGTTTGGTAGTGGTGTTTTAAAATGTTTACTTAAATTGGACTAACAGATGCAGTATGTATTTGTATTGTATCTAAATATTTAACCTGTTTTACAGCTGGTTTGATTGAAACGAAAGGTCACCTCCTCTAATGACAAGTGTATTCAGCACTGTACAGACTTATTTAGAAATAAGTGCTAATACGTGGTACTATGTGTTGTGTGCTGACATTGTATACTATTGTTACCATCCTTTTACAGTTCCATCTCCAGGACAACTTCAGCACAGAGTTCATAGTGTGGGACATTTCCCTGTGTCTGTCAGACAGCCTCTCAAAGCCACAGCATATGTAAGCCCAACTGTACAAGGCAGCAGTAGTATTCCCTTATCCAGCACCTTACAATTATATTCTAACAGTGGAATCCCCATGCCAAACAAGACTGCAAATCCTGGGACTGTAGGACGCAGTGCTCTTCCAAGACCATCATTGGCCCTAAGTGGGAGTAGTATACCCAGGAGTAAAATTGCACAGCCAGTTCGAAGGTAAGAGAATGTTCTTATTAATGAAAAGAGTTAAATGCACCTCCTTTACACATAGATAGCCTTGGCTTTGAGAACTCTTTTCTTTTTTTCTTTTTTAAAGAAATCTGAATTCAGGCTTTTGAACAGAAACACTTTGACAGGCTATTGATGCTGGGCTGAATTCTGTCCTCTCTATACATGTCTTTCTCTCTAAGCAATGAAAACTGCCCATTCATAAACCCCAGTGAACCTTAACGATTAATGATAACTACCCAGCAATGTTAAATAATCACATACGGATAACAATGTAATTCAGTGAGCCAACAGTAAATTAAAACAACTCCCATTTTACCTCCCCTCTCCAAGAACAATCTCAACCTTCTCCCCAAACCCTATCAAATAATAGTTTGTGCAATGTGCCCCAAAGGTAATCCAGTTCCAGTTATTTTGAATAAATGGTGTGAGCAAATTCAAATGTCCCAGAGTCCCCACAGAGAATGGCTTGCTGAGAGCCCCCTCCTTTTTAAAACAAGAGGGTGGCACCTCTGACTGCAGCTGTGGCAGAATGGCCCAGTGAGAGAGGCAGTGTGTCAGGTAGGCAGCTCCCACACCATGTAGGATTGTGTACATCATGACCAATACCTTTTAAATTCCATCTGGAGTCCAATAAGCAACTAGTGCAGATCCAGAGCCCTAATGTCATCTGTTCCCAGAGAAATGTTCTGTATAGCAAGTGAGCTGCTACATTCTGCACCAACTTTAGTTTCCAAATGGTTTAAAGGTATAGCCCATGTAGAGCAAGCTTGAGGTGATAAAGTCTGTGATGTGATGATCTATAACAGCAGCTGGGGGTCTAAAATAAACCTTTAGTTATGAACTCTTATGACTGATGGGAGATGGATTCCCTCAAAAATATTTTTGCCATCTCTTCCAGCTGCTTCCTACAACCCACTGTATATCACCTTGGTCTTGTCTGGGTTGAGCTTTGCCCACCTAACTGATCCAGGCCCGAATCTCAACTAGGTATTGGCTAGATCCAGAAAAACACTTTTGCTTCACAGTTTTGCTTCAGTGGAGTTACTCTGGTTTTACACGTGTGTAAATTAAAACAGTTTGGCCCAGTGTGTTGATACAAAGTGGACTTCGAAAAACAACTGACAGTTTCCTCTTTCGTGAAGTGTGTACCCTTAGATTTCCAATGTAACCATTTATTTTTGTTGTTCCCTGATGGAGCTCTCTCTTTCTCTCTCTCTTCTGGAATAGGAACTGTTTACTGTAGAGGTCTGTCACAGGGCAAGTATACCCTGTCACCTTGGGGGGGGGAGAGGGCGAGGGGCAAGGGCATGGTAGCCCCACGGTTAAGTCAATATGGCTACCCTCAGCCTCAGGGTTATGTGGCCCAGTGGCTGTAGTCAATAGGACTATCCCTGGCTGCAGGGAAGTGCGGCCTCATGGCCAGAGTCAATAGGAGGAGGTCTGGTGGGCTGCCCCCCAAAGGGGGCAGCCAGGGTAGCAGGACCCAGGTCCACTAGGTCCCAGCCCAGGGCCCTGGTAATGGCAAGTGGGTTTGCCACTAAGTCGGTGGGGAATTTGCACATAACACACAGACTGCTGCAGGGACACTGGCTGGTCCCTCCCTGGGCTAATTCTTATCGTGACTTCTACAGTTGAAGTCAGGGTGTCTTTGGAGTCGCCAGGCTCGTCAGATAGTGACTGCAATCTCCCTGGGGCGTTGCAGATACCTGAGCGCTTGTCTGGGCCTTGGCCTCTCCTGCTCTCGCGGTCCGGGATCCCGGCTGCTCCTCAGCTGAAGCTGGCGAGATGCATCCTTCCTCCTCAGTGGTCAGCACAGACTGAGCTAGGCTGCTCCCTTTTATACTGCAGCAGGAGTTGGAGCATGCCCATCAGGGATGAGGGGGTGTGGCTTCTGCCACCAAGAGGTGCTGTATTAACCCTTTTGTCCCCAGTGTGGGGCAAGTACAACCTGTCACAAGGTCTCGGTCTCCTTTCTAGAACAGTTAGTCATACTTTCCTTCCATGTCTCTTGAGAAATATTCAAACAACTTATTATAGAGAAAAGTAAGACAAGCCACATGTGAAGCTTTCTGGAATAGCTCACAAGTGTGAGTGCCTACCTCAGGCCAGACGGTCCAGAAGGAGGACATAAAGCCCAAATTAGTTGTGAGTTCTATACTTTAGATTTCACCAACCAAGTAACAAGTGTGAATACTTCAAGCACTATAGCAGCCTAACCATGGAGTCACTGACAGTCCCCATGGGTGCTCCGGTCTATCTTGCCACCCAGACAAACTTGCCTTTGTGTTAGATGGTCCCTTACACCCCAAAATCACAACAATATTCAGGTTACTCTCAGTCCCAAGGAACTTAGACCTTAGACCTCACACCAGAGACAACGCTTGTAGCCAATCCGATAATAAACCAACTAAAGATTTATTAACTAAGAAAAAAAATGAGTTATTTACAAGGTTAAAGCATGTAAACATACTCACACAAATGAGTTAATCTTAGGTTCCAAAAGTAATAGAAACTACTGCAATATGCAAGCTTTCTATGTCCTCTAGAGCTAACCCAATCCAAGCAGCTTTGGGATCCCTTGCTTATGCTAAGAAATATTGCCCTCTCCAAATTCCAAACAGCAGAGTAATGCAGTTTCTTCTAGTCACAAATTTGTATGCCCTTCCCCCTGAATTTAAACTGATGGGAGAAGTGTTTGTGCCCCTGTTGTCTTCATGGGCGGGGCAGGGGGAGGAGGCAATCAACAAAGTCTTTGTCCTTTGATGTTTCACAATGGCTCATTTGGTTTCAGTGGGCCTTGTTGTGTGCAGGACCTGCACTTTACATTAATTAATGCTTCTTTCCTATTTGGTGAATTACACAGTTACAGAGGTTTACAGTGCAAACACTCAGTATAACTTTTATGGCCTGGGGTACAGATGTTATAAACGAGATCAATACATGCAGCATCCTACAAGCATTTCATCAAGTCTAAACACATTCTTATAAACTTAACATCTATTTTAACAATGCTAACACAGATGAGCCAGACTGGTTTGCAGCTATGCATTTGTCAGTGAGGCCCAGGGGCCTTCGTATGAACTGGCACCTGGTCTGCCAGCATCACTCCACATTTTATTGATTTTAATAGTAACCTTTAGAGAGACTCCACTGGGGTAGAATTGTGTGAAACCAACTGGGTTAGGTTTGCCCAAATTTCACCAGATCTTTCTGGTGGGTTCAGTTGTCTGCACTCCCCTGGTTCATCTGAACCATAAAAGTGAACCAGATGAAACTCGCCAAACCCAGCAAGCTTCCCTACCCATCCCTGCTAAGCAGATAACCTGCCCCATGTACCCTGAATCTTCCCTTTATTGGGCCCCAAAGGGCTGGCCTGGTAGCCTTCTAGCTCCCTCCTGCTGGCATCTCTTTTGGGGGAGTGAGCAATTGGCTGAACTGCTCTCCCTTTCAGCCCCTCTTGGAGAAGATGCAGGCTAGCTTGCTTTCCCTCTCACAGCGAGTACGTTTTATCTAAACAATCATCATTTTTGAGAAAATGAAAGCAGCTCTTTTCTGCTTACAAAAAATGCAAATGCTTTGAGAGCTGCTAGCAGGCTGTTAGTTATGGCAGTAATTTTTCCTTTGAGAGAATTCTGATTAAGTGATTAGTTTCATTACACAAAGTGCCATTTAATAGTTCTGCATCCTTTCTAATAGTGCTGATAGGTTAAGTAATGTGGTGTTGCTAAACTGTACACGTCGGTAGTTAAAGGTTGAGTCCCACCAAATAAATTATTTCTCTTTCTTCTCCCTAACCCCAATGCTTAATTAAAAAAGAATAGTTCACATAATTCACTCTAAATTCCATACCCTCTTTGCTGCCTTATTGCAACTGGGCTGGGAATTATGGTGCTGGAAATGCTTAAACTGCCAGGAAGAGTCACAGGTGACATTGCTTGTGTGTAAGGGACATATCTTCTGCCTGGTGCCCTAAAGCTCTAGCGTGGGAATGAGGAGGGAGCATGGAATCCTAGGGGGTTGGACACTGAGAGGGAGAAGAGTGTGTGAGGGGAGCCAAACGGGTTATGAAAGGGCTGGTCTATACTTACCCGTTAGTTTGACGGCTGGAAATCGAACTTCCGGGTTCGATTTATCGCGTCTGGTCTGGACGCGATAAATCGATCCCGGAAGTGCTCGCCGTCGACTGCGGTACTCCAGCTCGGCGAGAGGAGTACCGCGGAGTCGACGGGGGAGCCTGCCTGCCGCGTGTGGACCGCGTCTGAACCGTGGTAAGTTCGAACTAAGGTATGTCGACTTCAGCTACGTTATTCACGTAGCTGAAGTTGCGTACCTTAGATCGAATTGGGGTGTTAGTGTAGACCAGGCCAAAGAAAAGGAAACTGATGGAAGTCCTGTTCCACCTCCTAGTAACAGTATAGGGAGAGCTCCTGCTGCTGTTTCAATCTACTTGTAACCACTAGAGCCACTGTCTTCAGAGAAATGCAAGAATCAGCACTGGTGGCTGCTGTTTACTTGCTGGTTCCATCTTCCTTGCAGCAGGCTGCCCCCTCCTCCAGCCCAGGATTCCTGACGGGAGAGGAGCCAGCAGAATCAGCAGTAGTTGTGGCTAGAGGGGGAGCAGGGAAGGGAGAGAGCCAGGACCTGAGATGATGAAAACTGGCTTTACAAGAAGCGGTAGCAGGGAACTGGAGCTGGCTATGGCTCCACCTAGTGCCTGTTGATGGCTGCTTGTGGCTCTCTTGGCAGATTTCATATCACCATATCCACTAGCATTTCCAGCCTGACCCCAGCCCCTCCATTTAATTTCAGCAAAGTGATGTAATCAAAATATGGTGGGTATAAAATGTATGTAGCCCTCCTGAAATTGTTAAAGAAGCAGATGGAGCAGAGTTGGATACTGTGTCAAACTAATTGTCCCAGGCAGGTTTTCTTTAAATGTCATTTGAAACAGCTATCCTCAGTAGTGTTTGGAGGTTTGGGAAATAGTTAATTGCTAAGGAATTTATAATAAAAATTAAGGTGGCTGTTATATTATGGTGCTAATGTTTCCCAGCTTTTGTTTTCTGATAATATGTTTTTAAAACTTGGAATAGGTCAATTTCAGGAAGGCTTTCTCTCCCCAGGACAATACTTATGCTGCCATTGGCAGGAAAAAAACAGGTGCTATTTTTAGAACGCACAGATTTGTTTTTTTCAAATGCATGTTGGGTGCAACAGTTCATGTGGGGGAATGCCCCTCCCCTTTTAAACTGAAATTATTTTCTGCAGCCTGTTTGTATGGGACGTAGCTACTGTTTTAGTGACAAACGCATTTGCACTGCTTTTTAATCCCATTAATCTTGCAGAGCCAAAATAGTTAAGGGAGAGGGAGGGAGGTTCTGTTTGATCTTGTGCATCATCAACAGAATTGTTACTAAATCCCTCGCCTGTCCCCCCTGTGTGAACCTATTGAAAGAGGTGAGATGTCACAGGTATCACAGAGGGCCTCCTTTGCAGGACTTTTATTACTGGTATTATGTGAGAAGGAAATAGTTTTTATGGGCTGGGGGGAGAACAGTCGGGAGAGCGGAAAAGCAAGAAGTGAGCTTTTTTTCTTTGTGTGGGGAAGAATGGGATGAGCAGGGCAAAACATTGGAGTGAAGAGAGGAGTTGGTGGGGGTAGGGAGGAAAAGAAGGATTGGTAGTTTGACATTTTGTGTAAGGCCACATTGTTCCTGCATCAGGTCAGAACCACCTCCTACAGTTTAGAATTGAAATCCTGGTCTCATTGAAGTCAATAGCAAAACTCTCATTGACTTCAGTATGGTCAGGATTTCACCCCAAGTCTTAGTTATGCCATTTTATAATATATTAGCATAGAGCTGGAAATATGCCATGGAAGAGTGTACATGCATGTGTATATGGGAACACCTACAAGGCCAGCTTCATTACATATGTGACTGATGCATGTCTTACTGTTCTCTTACCTGAAATGTGGCTTATTTTTTTAAAACAGTTTTCTTCAGCCTCCAAAGCCTCTTTCTTCTCTTAGTACTCTACGAGATGGAAATTGGAGAGACGGCTGCTATTGATGTCGGATGCCCCTGAACAATGGAAAAGAAATAATGTGGTTTCTACTACCCAGCTGGCTGGGTAACTATGTTACAGGAAGGGAAGGTCCCACAACACTATTTTCATTGAGTTTTAATATGTAAGAATATCCGTTATACCCTGTCATTTTTTAAAAAAATGAACATTATTAAAGACTAAATATTGCACTTAGTCATTTGCCTGGAAAACTGCAGTGTTATCAAACTAACAGTTGCGGTACTGTCATTTAGAACTTAAGAAATTTTTATATATGTGCAAAATATCGGACGTACTTCCTTTGAGAGAGTTAAGAAATGCCACTATTTCAAACAGCTTTGCCATATAGTAGGATAATTTATTCAGTGTACTCTGTAAAGATGATATGCATTTTGTTGCAACTTTGGGGCCTATGATATAAGCTTGGAATTTTTTTTTAGTGTTTCCAAGAATTTTATTTTTTGACTTAATTTCTTTCACACTTGCTTGAACCACAGAGAGAGGATTTAATTTTTGTGTGTGCCATAAATAATGTTTTTGTGGTAATGTACTATTTTTTAGCACTAGGAACATATCCTTCAAAAACAAACTATGAGCAATATGAAAGCAGTAATTTTTATGTTCCAAAGCACAAAAGAGTAACATTCACTGGAAACTGCCATACAGCTGGGTCAACATAATTTTGTCTTTCATCCATTTGTTCACATGTTAATTTATTATCATAGTGTTTTGTATTTATAATGGCAGCATAAACCACATTTCACTTAAAAGGTGCAATGGTCACTAAACTACAGTTCGTTTTTCAATACTTTATTACAAAAAATAAAATTGTAATGTTTTAATAATGGTTGCTTATGGGAAATGAATGAGTTTTAATGCAAATAAATCTTTTTGATAGACCTTTTACAAAATCCAATTGCACTAATCAATGCTTTCTTATAATGGCATATGATTGAATATTTGATTAAAACTGTGTATACTGCTGTTTTGGAATGTTTCAGAAATAAAGAATCTATTTCAGCAATATCATGCTGTGCTTTAGTGTGCAATGCAAACATTGTGTTTGTATCTGGTTTTTTTCCCCTATCCATGGCATAACTTTTTATTACAACACTTAGCTACTGAAGATTTTATTATTCAGCCTTTAGAACTCATTGAATTTTTTGCAAGAATATGCAAATCTCCAAGGACAATAAAAATTGAATCTCTTGTAGCCAAATGTTGCTTAGAAGACATACAAATTTCTTATTGCCTTAAAATTACTTTTGGAAAATATAAAATCTCTTGAACCAAAGCAAGGTCTGCAAGTACACTATTATAGTTGTCCTAATAAGAGTCAGAGCCCTATGTAGTGTGATTCTGCTACTATGGAACTTGTCTCAGAAATGTGCATCAGAATATCTGGCTTCCTTAATTTGCTTTTAAAAGGTAGAAATTTATACTTATGAGTAAAATATACCAAATGTGAAGTGAATATATAAAACTGATGGCGTCATGTCTTCATACAGCCAAATACAATAGCTCAGAGGTGCAAAATGAATTTTAACTATTACAAATCCCAAATGGAGGAGCGTAGAATTTTTACTCATTCACTCATTGAGTTTCACTCAATTTTTTTAAAGTCATCCTACAGAAGATAAGATCGTGAATGGAAAATTTGGGCTCCAAAGGTACATGTTTTGGAAAACTGAATATGTGGAAATCATTTTGTAAGACATTAGTGAGTTTATTTCAAAGTATTGGATGACAAATAAAATATCTGTTTTTTTTTTTTTTTAAATGTGTAGTAGAAATTGCCTTATAAATGGTAATACTTCTGTTGTACACAAGGGGACAGTATGCACTCTGAAAATACTTTACTTTTATTAGGTAAACCTTGTGTATTCCCCAGACTCTTGGTTTAAACTTTATGCCTTTTTGCCAGTGCTGTTATATATATCAAATCAAATTACCCAGCTGTTTATCATTTGGATTTTAAAAAAATCACATTAGCATATATGTAGAGAACTGGAGAAACAAGCATCACCACTATTATGAAACTTATTAACTCTTAGAGAAAATGGAATAGGGCACTGTTTTTCAATTCTTTCTTGAACTGCTCAAGGTTTATTTAACACCCGCAGTTTAACAATGCATCCCTTGCTCATGTAAGTGTTCTCTAACCTTATAAAACTATTGCCTCCTAGTCAGAAAAGACATTGAAGGACTAACTCTGATACTGCCAAATAATACTCACCAAGAAATCCAGGTTACAAAGAATTGGATCTGTTCTAATCTGCACCCTGTTCCAGTCCACAGAAGCCAGCATTACTGTTCTCTCCCTGTAGCTGGCATCTCCAGTGAAACTAGTAATGACTAACCAGGTATTGAAGAGTGCACAAGTGTGATAGATACTTCACCATAGCAACCCCCTGGAAGCTAAATGCATGAGATCTGCAACACAAAACCACCTCTGTCGCTCTTAATTTTGCCTGAGTCAGAATCTCCCCCAGGCAATGCTGAATGGTAACAGCTTGACCGTATAGTGCTTGCTATCTTAAAAAGTCAACATTTACCAGTTATTGCCTGTTCCAGGGAAAGGAAAATAGTTTGGCATCTTTGTATGGTAAATATTGATGAATGTTACATTTTTAATATGAATAGATGTGTATGTACAATTATGTGGTATATGTGTTAATTGCCCATTTCATTTCAAGTGGTTTCTTGCAACATGTGTTAACCCCTTCTGCTTAACAATCTGTCCCACCTTCTATTTAGCTGTCACAGTCTGGTTACCTTTCCCAGACCTGAAGAAGAGCTCTGTGAAGCTCTAAAGCTTGTCTCTTTCACTGATGGACATTGGTCCAATAACAGATATCACCTCCCCACTTGCCTCCATGTACAATTAGGTAATTTAGGGTAGTGCACACTCTCCTTTTTAAAAAAAAATTATCTTTGTTATATTTAATCGCAGGGCAGGAAATATATCCGTATTAGTGGGAAATTCTTGGTAAGAAAGGAGGGCCCCTTAGTGCCACAGCCAATGGGACTTACTGCAGCTCCCTCAAAACTTAAGCAGTTAAAGCTGTACTGAATTAATTAGTGCAGAATTAAAGTTAAAAGTGAACTTGAAAATATTTTTACATACTAAGCTCTCTGTTAACCTCACCTGGACCACACTTGTGTTCCGTGATATAACCAGACTTGCAATTGCTTCTGGGCGCAATTCAAGGTATTGGGTTTGACCTATCAAGCCCTAAATGTGTCTCTTGGCTACCTGAGAGATTGGTCTCTCCCTGTGTGCTACAGCAGCCTTTGACAGAGTAGCCCAAAGGAGGAACAAAGCCAGTGGCTGGAGATGTTCACTCTCCTTTGGTCTGAAAAAGCCTGAGTCAACTGGCCTTTGTGGCAGGCTGCCAGGCCTCATTGTTCTTCCAGGCTTGGAAGAAGGAGCTGGGCTAGGGAGGGTGGTGAGTGTGAATCCTGTCAGATTGGATAGGTGAAAAGAACAAAATCTGCTATTGGTTTATTTTTCTAAGATTTGTAAATACAAGTAGCATAAAATGTGAACTTAGATCTTGACAGGTAAATAAAAAACAACTAGATTTCAGTTTATTTGGTTTTACATATAAGTAACTTTCTTAGTTTACACACTACCTGGATTAGAGTATAAAATGAGAGTTAAGGCCTGTTTGGAGGAGTTGGCATCTTAGGCTATGTCTACACTTCAAACTGGAGGAGGGGAGGGTACGATTCCCAGCTCGAGTCGATGTATTCACACTAGTTCTTGTCGACCTAGAGTGCTCAAAATAAAATACTGCAGTTGCAGGATAGGTGAGCTTCCCCCACTGCATGCCCATCCGAGACTCTGGGCATGCACTCAGAGTCGCTAGCCTGTCCTGCCACTCACTCTGTCATGGCTATGCTGAGAGCTAGCAGGAGTAAGTCTCCTCAAGCTGGAATCACATCTTGAGCTCCAAGTGTAGACACACCCTTAGAGAGTAGTTCTATTTTAATATACTCCCAAGTGGGAGTAGGAGCAGATGTAGATCTGTAAAAATGACACTTTTTCTCAGGAGTAGGCTGGGCTGCATAGACCATTGCAAGCTGGTTGGGCAGTGAATGGAGGAAAATGGTGTCTTAATGTAAAATGTCCTTAAGATGTGGAGGATATGAGGGGTCCATCCCTGCTGATGATAACCCGTCCAGCAGTTTAAGGATTGAAAGGAGCTTGTGTCTCTACAAAGCCAACTTGAAGCAAATACCCACAAAACCTTAATTAAAAAAAAAATCCATGGAACTAACAATATGTGTACACATTCTCACTCTGGGTAATCTACAAAGGAAAAAAAGACCCCTGCGGCAGTGAGGATCAGACCGAGGTTATGGCACTAGGTTTGCAGGGCTCACGCAGTGGGACAAAAAATAGCAGTGTAGATGTTCAGGCTTGGGCTGGAGCCGAGGCTCTGAAACCCAGCTCTGGGAACCCAGGCTCCAGACTGAGTCCAAATATCGACACTGCTATTTTTAGCCCCGCAGTGCAAGCCCCAGTAAGTAGCCCTAGGCACTGAGACTTGCTGTTGCAGAGTTGGTTTATTTTAATGTGTAGATGTACCCTTACATTTCCTTTGTTTTTATGCTATATTCCCTTCCCACACTCTTCATGTGTTTTTGTCTTTTTAAATCGTAAGTTCTTCAGGGTCGATACTGTGTCTTCCTCTGCCTTTGGCAAGTACTTGGTGTGTTTTGGGTCTTAGCACCATCTAAGTGATGATGATGGTCCTGATCCAGCAGTTACTTGGATACACTAGCTCAGACCCTGTTCTGTGGAGAGCTCCACTGAAGTCAGTTAAGCTCCACATTTGTGCAGTGTCTCTCTAGTGGATCCAATTGCAGGAGCAGACCCAATAATGATGTAAAAACTCAAGTGAAAATTAGGAAAGGGTTAATTACTGGGCCAGAGAGAGCAAGTTCCTAAATACAGATAACTCAAGCATATTGTTTTTCTTCCATGGTCATAGCCAAA